GGATGTTAACACAAGGGACTTTCCGTCCCTCGCCTCCCTCTGACATGATTGGATGATATGGCGGCAAGGTGGCTCCGCCCCAACTTGTCGCCCTGACCCCATCTGGCCTCGCTGTCCAGCTATGACGTCACACTGGAACGAGGCTGCAGGTGGGCCGGCAAGCTGAAGACATCCGTCTCCACCTTTGCGTCCATCTCCAGAGTGGAGGGTTTTACCGATCTGTGTTTTTTCCCTCAGAATCCCCCCCCCCCGAACCAAGCCTGGTGGTGACACTTAGGGCAAAAGCTTCCAGGATGGACCAGCAACCTGTCCCTCCAGGGAAGCATGACCAGATGGTGACAAGGTCTCCAACCGAGCTCACCAGTGCTCATTCCAGACGGCCGCAACGAACAACAACATCGCCCTGCTGGCCTACAGCATCTCTGAGAGGCTGGAGGAAGCAGACCTGCTGGAGAAGACAAAGAGCTCTCTCTTTCTGTAAAGCTGCTGATGTCATCTTAAACATGTGCCACCTCTGCGATCTGCCTGTCCCACATCGCCACCTGGATGACCATGATCCAGAGGACCACGTGGCTCCACCTCTCAGAGAGGCTGCAGAAAGACCTGCTGGAGGGCCCTATCACCCCAGAGGCGCTGTTCGGGGCCAACTTCAGGAACATTCTTGAGAAATCACAGAGGTCTGAGGAGGTCTCGGAGACTGTACACCATCTGGTGACGTCACAGTCCATCTGCCCCTCTGGCCGCTGGAGGGACCGCCTGGCCAGCAACAGAACCAGAGGCGCTCCACAGCTGCGGCAGCGACTTCACACCCTGCTCCTTCGCCGGCCCCCTCCACCAGGTAACAGATCCTTGAGGGGAAGGTATGTGTTTTTTGATGATGTATGTTTTTGGTATAAAACAGAAACACCTCTGAAAGTAAAGTTTTCATCCGAGATTGTCAGATCAGCTGATCTCTCAGCTCCTCTTCCCACATTCCCCACACAGAACGAGCCAGTAACCTCTAAACAGCATTTTAAATGACACCGCAGTTCAGTAAATAACACAAGCCAGAGCCAGTTTTTAATTTCTGCTGTTTTCTGCCCACTCACAGCGCAGCGGGAGTAAATGTGTTTTCACCACGACAGCTGCAGCCTCCACCAAAACGGCGTCTCACTCAGAAATTGCTCAAGCCTCCTCTCGGTGCACGCCAGCTCACCTCAGCTCTATGCGAGACCACAGCCTGGGCCCAGCAGAAAGGCACACATTCAAACCTTTTTTTCTGTCGGAGCCCCCATTGGGTTCCCCCTGAGAATCTCCGGAGCGAATAATGGCAGTAAGGATTTTTAGTCTGGTTGATGTTCATGAGAAACATGACAACACAAATGCGTGCCCGCTCTCCGAGCGCTACTCAGAGTGGCAGTGAGTGTGTTCCCTGGACAGATGGACGGACCATCTGATCAGAAGGGGTTACACGCTGCAGTTCGCAGCTCAACCCCCACCGTTCAGAGGGATTATAGAGACGGTTATGTCTTCTCCAGAAAAGAGCTCGTCTCTCCAGTCAGAAGTTCAGGAATTTCTGACAAAAAAACGTGATTTCCAGAGTTCCCAACAGAGTGGAAAATACTGTTTTTTTTTCCTCCCACTACTTCCTGGTTATGATAAAAAACGGAAGGATGAAACCATTCTCGACCTGTTCGTGTTCAGCAATTCGATCATGGGGAGACAATTCCACATGCTGACAAACAGCTGATGGAGAACTTCACCAGAACGACTGGTTTTCACCTCCATAGATCTGAAGAGCACATATTTTTACATTTCCATCATTCTGTCCAACGCATGTTCTCAAAATGTGTGGAGATGGCTTTGCAGTTGTTACACATGGCAGGAATGAGAAGTCTTTTTATCTGGACGATATGCTCTTAGCAAGGTTCAGTTAGAAAGACGTCGCACAGAGATGGTTCGCCCGCCTGCGCATAGATCCTGTGTGCCAGAAGAAGTGGATGATCTTTGTGCCCCCTTCCGTGAGAACTGATCTGAATCACTGGGGAAACCCCCTCATTTTGTCAGAGGGAGTTCCCATCAGCAGGCCTACCTCACACGTCTCAGTTTTCACAGACGCGTTCCTGTCAAACTGAGAGGAACGTTTCTGTCCCAAGCAGTGGGAGCACAGTGGCTGGACCACATGTCGCTTTACATAATGTGCTAGAATGTTTTTCACGGTCTGAAACGTGACTCAGCATTTTGCCCCAGCTGTGGGATCAGCATGTTCTGATCCACACAGACAACAAGTGACGGCAGTTTACATAAACCGTCAGGGAGGTGTGCGCTCAGCCCAACTGTTGTTACGCATTATGAAACAGCTGTGTTGGCCACACAAAAACCTACTCTCCATCAGAGCAGTGTACTTTCCCAGCGTTCCTGAACAGGCAAGCGGATATCATGTGTATGGAGACACTAGCTTCACAGTGAGACCTAATGATGGTCCCGCACGCTCTGATCAAAGCTCATTCAGAGTTTCTAGATCAAGTTTTACTTAAATTTCTGTCATTTAAAACAGCCCTGCTGTTAGTTTCTGACGTCGGCAAAGAGAGTCAGTGTTTGTTTGCTCTCTCTAAGTTACTCCCTCATGTCTCAGAATTCAAGCTGACGGCAGTTCAGCCGTACTGCATTTTAACCCTGCTCTGAAAAGCATCACAAGCTCATTCAGATCGAGAGTGATAACCTTGGATGGGTTTTATCCTCCTCATAACTCTGAGGAGGAAGCAACATCTCACCTCCTTCTGTCCCATGCGCGCATTTTTCATGTTACGTGGTGCACTGCGCCGCTTTCAGTGTATGTTTGTGCATTACTGGGACAGCTCTTCAGGATGTCTTCTATCCACCCAGCGCCTCTCACACCGGTTGTGTGAGGCTATTTCTGAAGTTTACAGTTCATCTGGACTGGATCCTCCACCAGAGGGTTTTCATCCTCCATGGCTCTGCAAGGAGGGATGCCAGTGGAGAATATCTGTATGGCGGCTGCCTGTTCGCCATGTTCAATTATTCGTTTTTATCTGTGATCTTTCTACTTTTTCCATGATCCATTCTGTTCTCAGGGTTCTGGCAGAATGATTATTTGTTTCATGGAACCTCACTTTTGAGTTCACACCTGCATGCAATCGCAGTGTGAGATATTTATTATCAGTCACAAGTTCATGACTGCTGATTTTATCGTTATTAATCAGTTCATCCTAAGGAGCTGTTGGTCTGCTCTGTTTATCGTTACACTGTTACAATTTTTATCTTCCGTTGTTCCTATTCACAGCAGCAGGTCTGCTATCTCAGCCCTTTTTTTTCTCCTCACCAGAGATCTTCTCCAGTGTGCTCCTGCGCATGGAGCACGCAATTACACAGCGTGTAATTACGCACACAGAAGGCTGAGTGATGATTTTTTTTTTTTGTGCAAGCAGGTGCTTCATGTTGTGTCCGAGTGGACCCAGTGAGGCATAGACTATATCCTTCTTCACCTTTAACCCACTAGCGAAAGTCTTAAAGGGCGAAGCCTATACGAAATAGAACGTTGGTTACGTACTGTAACCCCAGATTCTATGAGTATAGGCGTAGCCCTTTAAGCTCTGGGCCTCACTGGTTCCTAAATGGCT